GTCCGATTAAAAATGGATGAAATTCATGAAACCCTACTTAGTATGGCACTAACGATAAAAAAAAAGCAGATTCTAATTCCGGCAACTGTGGTCATGAAATTTTATGACATGCAGCGCGTCTGTTTCTACAGCGAAATTTCTGAGATGTTTTATAAATTCTTCGTTGCCGTTAAATCGGAATCGAATAATCTGCAAGAGAAACAAATTTCTTGTCTCTAGGCATTGTAAAGCCTTAACAGAGGATGTGCATTTATAACAAATGCAGCAATGTTATATCCTGGTTTATTAATGGAGAAAAAGTTATATAATAACAAATGAAGTCTGTATTCGTATTTACACTCTTTATATTGTTCTGACCTTTGTCATCATATTTATTGTCATAGGCACGTCGTTGTACGTTCCGGCCTTCTTCAGGTGATATACGTTGGAATTTCGAACCGAACACTTTATTTAGTCCACAACGGCCGAAACTACGTGAATATGACAATCAAGATGAGAACAATCCTAACAATGTAAACAGTGTAAATACTTACAACACCTCATCTCAGAAATATAGATATCTATATACGTTTTACATATTGAGATCTTCTGGCGTCTGTTTCACATTTTAGTGACTCTTCGGCAGAAACTGAGTGAAATACGTAGAGGATAATACTGTTTCGATACTATATCATGGCGGGTCGAGGGTGTAAAGTGAATGGAACTAAAGAATGGAGCTTGTCTGAAACTCTGTCATGGAAATAACAAGAGTCACGATAGGCATGCGAAATAGCGTCTGGGAGAAAGTGTTGCATGTTGATTGCAATGAATGATCTCAGCTTTCTTTTTTTTTTTCTTTTTTTCTTTTTTTGCCGACTGTTTCGGCTGGATTCAGGAATGAAAGTCTCTAAACACAGAGAATGTTAACTATTTTTTTATTAATCATGTAGACATGTACATTATCTACCTTTCCAGTGGGGCTCGCCCCCCTCATTGGGGAGCCATTTCGCACACTAAAATGAACACATCTACGTCGCTTGAAACCTCTTCTCCTATCTCACCAACTCAGCCAATCAAAATTGACTTCCCTATTATGATTCACATCTGACCCCAGCTATCAACCTTCAGAAGTCGGAGCCGAGATAAACTTCAGGTAAAAATAATAATCTGCTAATTTAGCAAAAGACAATATTTATTATTTTTCACTTTGTTCGATTCTTATTTTTATGTAGTATGTCTTAATATGCATATCAATAATTATTATATTTTCTAATTAAGTATCCTTTGTAAACAATCCTTTGTAAACAATCCAATTTTTTCTCTGAATTCACTTTAAAGATGACTTTTCATTTGTGTCGTTAAAATATTAAGTCTTCTTCTCTAGTGAATTTTTTTTTAGCGGGTGGGTGTCATTTTCATTTTTATTACTTCCTACGAGGTCCTCTTCAAATTCTTCTCTTTCTCTGTCAAATGTAGGTCATGAGTATTTTGCTACTTGGTTCAATGCTCTAGTGAATAATAATAATTTCTCTTTTTCTTAATGTTCTATTTCCGTCCTCAATCGACATCATCATTGAAATGTACGATTTTATGCATATTCATTACTTTTCTCGTCCATAGTCCTCTATTCTTGCCCCATCCAATCGACGAATGACCTAAAATATCTATCTATCTATCTATATATCTATATATATATCGACGAATCGTCAGGCCTAAAATTTCATCTATCTATCTGTCGCCCTAATCTATCTATGTATATATATTTATATATATATATCTATGATATTGATTTATCCCATAAATATAGCACACCTTAAGACTATATTTCTTATATATATATATATGCAGGTATGTATAGGAAATAGAAAAGAAACACTTTGGTAAATAATCCAGAGTTCTTTCGTATTTTTGTTTTTATTTTTAAAAAACAGTGCTCCATAAAGAAGTAGATTTTACATTATAGTTATTTTTTAAAAAGATATGATTCCTTCGCTACATAAGAGTTCTCATGTTTCAAAAACGAGAGCCGAAACCATCAATATAATTATTAAAATTTTAAAATTAATATTATTAAAATTTAAAATTAAACTGAATTAAAGTAACAAGCCCTGTTTCATCCTCAAGTGAAAATTTTTGCTTGAGGATGCAACAGGGCTTGTTACTTTAATTCAATTTAATTTTAATAATTATATTGATTACAGCTTACAGTTTAGATATTATTTCTGAAGGGTTTGGGACTAAGCATCCATAGGAAAATTTAGATCTGATGAGGCGATAGAAGTTCATTTTCTTTTTGGACGAAACTAATTCTGGCTTAACCTATTCTATGTTCAAAATCCATTTTTTTTCTATTTCTAGAGAATTAGAAATTAAATAAATACAAGTAGAAATTAAATTTATCATCAAGTACCATACCGTATCACAGATACAATTCTCGAATCTCGACATGAGTTGTTTATGTTTGCTTTCCAGTTAAAGTCTCATTAAATGACATCTTATATGATACAACAGTGACTCAGGACATGGTTCTTATTGATAGGAACTTCAAATTAAAAGCATTGGCTGATCAGATCAAACCACGCACAGTGGCTCTTACAAAAACCAAGACCAAATGAAGAGATGTTCTTCATATACATATTCTAATTTATTTGTTTAAAGGTTATTTTTAAAAGATACTCATATTTGAGTAGATGTTCTTTATTTATTTATTCATTAAACAGTATATTTGTTTATTTCCATCTACCGAAATATCAATTATGAGTATCAATTAAAAATAACGTTTAAAAATAATAAATTATATATATATATATATATATATATATATATATATATATATATAAGTGTAAATTGAAGTCAACACTCAGGGGCAACAGGCAGTTTCATGCTAGACACAAAAGCCAGACGACTGTTGTTCTAGCATGAAACAGCCTGTCGCCTCTGTGTGTTGACTTCAATGTTAAATTTTATATTTATATACGCTCTATCTCTGATATTGAACAATTTATCCCATGGATATTAAGCGCCTTAAATTATATATATATATATATATATATATATATATATATATATATATATATATATATATATATATATATATATATGTATGTATGTATATATATATATATATAATCTAATTTACATTTGTTGTATTTATATATTTTGCCTGATTTTAAAGCTTATTAACTAGATAGATCGATACACCCATATATATATATATATATATATATATATATATATATATATATATATATATATATATATATGGGCATTTTCTTTACATGCCAATAGACGTGATACACACTGTTCAATAAATAAAAATTTCATGTCTATTTGAAATATGAAGTATCCACTATAATAACGTTTGAAGTAATAAAAATGTCGGATTAAAAATAAATCCATTAATTCTTTTTACAATAAAAAAATATATATATATAAATTCTAATATACTTTTTTGTATTTACATATTTATGCATTGATATATTTTTTTGAAATTTTGTTGATTACTAAGGTTATATATATATATATATATATATATATATATATATATATATATATATATATATTCTTTTTTGAATACTAAATACTAATCAATATATATATATATATATATATATATATATATATATATATATATATATATATAGATAGATAGATAGATAGATAGATAGATAGATAAGTGTGTGTGTCTGTATGTGTATGTGTGCGTGCGTGTGCGTGCGTGCGTGCGTGTATATATTTAAAAGCTTTGGGAACAAAAAAATATATAATGTTTTGAGGTTAAAAAAATCAGAAAAACACGGCTTATCATGATGAAAGTAATTCGTGTTTTGTTAATGGAAAACAATAAAGTTACACAAATGGTAACAAACAACATCAAAAATGACGATGATAAATTATTGTCTGCAAATATCGTTGTCTTTTTGCTTTGTATCTTTCCTTCTCACTCCCCTATTTATTTTGTCTTCTGCTACTTTTGCCTTCATTTTTTTCCCTTCCTCAACTCGTCTTTCTGTTTGTGTCCCCTCCCTCTTTAAAATGCGCACTGTCTTATTTCTCCTTGCTGTTTCTAATATCTTCGTTTTTTTTTCATCTCCTTTCTTCGACGTCTCACTCCATTTTTTTCTCGTGTATTTTCCCTCTCCCTTCATTCTGAACTTTCTGTATTTGATTATTTCCTTCTTTTTCTTCCTTTATTTCTTTTCTTTCCTCACTTCTTTCTTCTCCGCCATACTTCTTTATTCACTTATTTACCTCTTTCTTCTTTTCTACTCTGTTTCTCTCTTTTCTTTGTTCCTTGTCTCTTTCCTCCTTTCATTTACTTCTTCCTCAACCCCTTTCTTCTTTTCATCCATTGTTTTTCTTCTTCCTATTTTTCTCCTTATTTACTTGTTTTTCGCTTTCTTATATTCTCGCGCCTTTCCGTCTTTTCTTCCTTCTCATTTTATCTCTCCTTTTTTTCATCTTCTCTTTCTCTTTCCATTTTCTCGTATCCTTCTCCCTCCTTTCTTTTCTTGTATCCTTTTTCTTCTTCTATCTTCCTTTACGTCACATATAGCTTTTCTCCGTATATGTTTCTCATTCATTCTTATTTTTTCCGTTTATTTCCCCTCTTATCAAGGCCGTAAATCTTCAATTCTATGTTTAAGAACTTCTGTTTCCGCCCCTTTTTTTCTGGTTTTATTTTTATTTCATTTGTAGGTTTTCTTTTCTTTCTTCTTTTTTTTGTCGTCCTTGTCCGCTTTTGTCGAATCTTGTTCATCTGTCTTCCATTTATTTTGTTCTCTCGTCTACCATCTTCATTGACGCTCAACTACATTTACCTTCTTCCTTCCACAAGGCCCCTATTCATCTTGTTCCCATTTTGCATCGTGTTAGACTGCATTCGTTTTTCATTATCTATATCAATACCCGCCCCTACTTCCGTTCTTCATCACGAAATAAGTAGGTTCTTTCTTTCTTCAGAAAATCAATTACGAAAAAAAAAACGGTGTATTATTATTGTCCCTTTTTTTCTAGTATGATAAAAACATCATAGAAAAGATTGAAATATTAAATAATGCATTAGAGTAAATCAACGACTAATAAAAAGCATTAGAGAAACTCGTAGTTATGAAGAAAAAAATGAATACATAGAAATGTGAGTGTGTGCTTGCGTGTGTGTGGGTGTGTGAATATAAATACATTCGGGAAACGTTGAAGTATCGCTATATTTTTTTTTTAACCATTTCACCCCAATAATGGCAACAAAGCCACTAAGAAGAAAAATGTGAGAAAATATGAGAAAAAGAAAACTATTAGGCAAAGAGGCCAAAAATAAAAGGATTTTTTTTTAAGCGTTTCACCCCAAGCCAGGCGGGAAGCCACTAGGACGCAAGGGATTACAGAAAATTTGGAGCAAGATCAGATAGGAGTGATAGAAGAAAGGATGATGAGAAGGGTAGTGGATAGATCAAGGCAACTGGAGATGGCGATTGACATTACACTTGAATAGCTGGAGATTATAGCTGTCATGGAAACAGGAATAGGGAAGGGAGATCCACAGGCGAGAGGTGCAAGACATGAAGCTATTGGAGTAGAAGAGACGGCTACATTTAGGAGTTTCGACAGTGAAGGGGTGAGAGCGGGATGCCAGCCTCGTAAGTCGCTTGAACTTATGAAGTCTGGGAACCAGCGAATGCAGCTGCTCAGAGCAATTGCCATGAAAGTATTTGTAAAACCGACAGAGAGAGGCGTCTGTGAGAAAGTGACTGTAGACGAGATGTCAGATCAGGGCCAATTATATTGCATATCCGCCTCTGGAGACTATCAAGAACCCCGAGGCAAACAGAAGGGTCTCCAGACCATATATGGCAGCAATTAATTGACACCGCATTTAAATTTTTGAAGATCAAATTGGACTGGAAAACCAGAAGCCAGAAGAGATTTTCACAACAAAGAAATCTAAGAGAAGAAACTGTTAACATAGAACTTACGGTTACACTAGAAAATTCCACTGTAAAATGGTGAGACCTTACCGCCAATCTAGTACTGCGCTTAACTTCATAAAGTTTAGGTAGCATAAAATAAAGTTGCTAGACGGACAATTGTGTAATGGATATTTACGTCCCGGAAAATTGCGTACCAGACAAATGCGTTCCTAGATAATTGCGTACCTCTGATAATTTTTTAACTTTCTTTTTTTTCTTTTTTTTTAAAAGAACTGTTTAGTATAGAAATTTGCACACCAATACCTCTAAGTAATCGAAGCAACCAGGGCACCTCGGCTTGGTGTAATGGTTACCAAGCTATTCTTGCTAGGTTAGTTACTACTGAAAAGTGAGTTCGATCCTCACTGGATGCCTCTTGCTTTCGTCCTTGTGCTACATCTAAGCTTCGCTTGGAAATTCTTTATTCGAAACAACCAGAAAGTTACCATAATTTAAAAAAAAGAGTGAAAAATTTCATAAAATTAAGCAAGCTGCTTCAGTTCACCCCAGCAGTGTTTGCGACAAACATCTAATACATTCTGGATTTTATAGATTATATTTTTATTTGGAACCCATGGCTAAGTTCCGAAAATCAAACACAAGTAAAAAAAAAAATATATATTAGATCTATAGCTATTTTAAGAATAACACCGATGAAACAAAAACATACTGGCGATGTGTAGAGTGTTCATGCAACATTGTTAATCTGTCATTGCAGTTTAAACCAATTAAACATTAAAAAAAAAAGTTATTTTACTCTTTTTATTCCTTTTTTTTAAAATTTATGGTTATTACCTATGCTTTTTTTAATTTATGGTAATTGCCTTTAAAAGCTTCAAGAAATTATTAGATGTTCGCAATTATCGAGGGACGCAATTGTCTGGTACACAAATGTTCAATACGAAAATGTCCTGGAACCAGGGAAGGTAATATTTATTTTGAAAATACACAAAATGTTGCACAAGACCAAAAAGGAGGATAAGAAGACGGTTTTCAATCTGTCTTAACTTAAACTTAGCTAGCCACAATTACTGGCCCAAACATACCACAGCATACGTCAATACAATATACTTACTTTTCTTACTAGAGCCACCATAATACATAAAAGTTTCTATGAAGTACTAACTGGTATTCATATATACGATTTATCTGTGGTTAATAAAAATGGAATAGATGAAAGGTCATCAAAAAAGTTGCCATTATAGTATTTATTGAAAAGGCATATGGAAGCTATGTTACGACGGCGGTGGGAAGTGGCTGAAGTCGAGATGCCAGGTGATGACAAAGAATGTTGCAGATTTTTCTTCGTATTTAATCAAGAATCTATAAATATATAGCAGAAGCACCAGACCAGATGTGTTAGCAAAATTCAAAGCCTAGTCGAATAGTAAACTTATAAATGCGTAATGTATACACATTTTTTTTCATGCTATTTGTTTCATTCGTATATGACTGATCGCTTGCAAGGATGGTTAATTATACCCTGGTGTGTGTCTTCTCAGGTATATCTGTATTTCTTCAATTGAGCCAACTATATTTTAGTACTGCAACTATGGTCAGCGGAACCCAATTTCATTTTCTCAGTGGCATAATATGACAAGATGAAACTCATTGGAATAAAACCATTACGCTAAAGCTCTCAGTCACGATGTCTTTTGAATTTAAGCTGGCACAAATATCCACAGGTTCTGAACAGTTTACACAATTTCTGAACAATTTCTTTAATGTCTACTGTTGTAATTTTGGTTAATCCTCGTCACCAAATTGTTGTAAACGAGGGAAGTTTTCTGAATAGAATAATGAAAAGAAGGTTGGTATTGAACGATAATACTTAGGACAAGAACAACACATATAAGATTCGCCAGCAGCACGTAGAAGTAGTCAACTGCTAGAAGTGAATTCCACAATGAATCTCCAACTGCAGGATATATACCAACTCGGTTAGATATGGCACAAAGCCGAATTTAATGTGGGCTATCCGAGCCCGTAGGCTCGGGCAAAAATTCCCCGTACCTCGACAGAGCCTCGTCTGGGAATCCTCTCTGCCCAGAGGCAGAGATTTTGATCAGCACAGCTGGAGATGAATTTGCAATTGCAGGATATCTACGCGATCAGTTGTAACACAAGGCAGAATTCAATATGGCCGATATTATAAACATCACCTGTTTGACAAAATGACCCAGGTGAGACTCGAACCCGAGTCACATGGTAGGTTCGTTGATTTTCTAAGCCCTATATATATATATATATATATATATATATATATATAGATAGATAGATAGATAGATAGATAGATAGATAGATAGATATATGCATGTATGTATATATATATATATATATATATATATATGTGTGCATATATGTGTATATATATATATTATATATATGCATGCATGCATATATATATATATATATATATATATATATATAGAACATTAAAATTATATATATAGAACAATTTTGTAGGAAAAATATATGACAGAGAGGAAAATGATTTATGCGATGTGTTTTGATCCTTTGAATGAAACGCGTCCGAGGAAAACATTTTCCTTTCTGTCATACTTTTTCCTGCAAAATATGCAAAGACACGCACACACACGTGCACATACATCTGTGCATGTGCGCACGCTTGTGTGTGTGTGTGTGTGTGTGTGTGTATGAAAAGTACAAGTTAAAATTATCGACTCGACCCATCTCTTGATTTAATAGTAAATTTTCATAACTTTAACCCCTTCTAAGCTTAACTGCGGAAACTAATCACCATATTAATGAAAGGTGTTCAATGTTTTAGAGGGGGGTGTTATTTACATGAAAATCCAACAGTTCGATTTTACCATTAAATAGATTGACAAAAATAGCAAAATTTTAAAGTAACTTTAGGAAGTAATGGATTATTTTTATTTTTATTTATTATCATTATTATTATTATTGTTATTATTACTCACTATGTGATAGACCTTCAAGAAGTGAGCTCGAAATTTCTATAAAATGATGTAGCTTTCAATTCTTTGAAATTCACAAAGTGGCCCCCAAAATATTTTTCGTATATTGTATATTGTCTCTCGGCATGCACATTCAAGAAATCTCAATGAAAAAGATAAGCTCCCGATAGAAATTCTTTATGGAGATTTGTCTATTTCTCAAATGGGCAGTCTGACTGGCGTAATACACACTATTTGAAATAAAACTAAAAATGAGGTGTTTATTTCAAATACGAGTTTTCACTGTAATAACGTTTGAAGTAATAAAAATGTTCGACTAAAAACAATAAATTTAGAAATATATATATATATATATGTGTGTGTGTGTGTGTGTGTGTGTGTGTGTGTGTAAATTAACATATAGAATTCCGACAAAGTTTTTAAGAAATGTGATAAATGGAGAACCATTTTATTGAAATTAGATTTGATTAGTAGCCATTCAGGAAAGCCAGATGGACATTGCCCTTAAATTCAGTACAGAAATGCTTGGAGACTATTTAAATAACATTCGATATGAATGAAGAATGATAAATCAAAAAAACAAAAAACGTCACATATTTTCATCGTTTCTTTTCATCAAGAGAAACGCCAGCTCAACGGGAAAATTACAAATGATACATTATTTAATCATACACAGAAACATACACGCATAACTTTCTTCCGTTTTTTAATCTGATGAATCCTAAAAAGGCGAAACGCATAATCAAATGTAGTCTGAATGAAAACATTTTATTTTCCATATTTCTTCAAACGTAACACACGCACACACACACACACGCACACGCACACGCATACATATAGGTTTGTATAATATGTGTGTATATATATATGCACACACACACACACACACACGCATACATATAGGTTTGTATAATATGTGTGTATATATATATATATATATATATATATATATATATATATATATATATATATATATATATATATGCGCATAATTATTAAAACGCTCAATATCGGCGATAAAGTTAACATATTTAGTTGGATTGATGTAAGTTTGCGACCCTGGTTTTCACGCCCTTGCGATCGTCAGCCAAAATTTTTGTCTGACGATTGCAA